TGATGATATGATTTTGAAAAAACTGATAACACTTCCGTCTATTTTGCTTTAAGTTCAACGGACTTGGAGTATTTTGTGCTTTTAGGATTTTAATTCACATCTTGCCTGAAATAAATTTACTTATTTCGTTTTAAAATTGATTTCTATTGTGACTGAGTTACGTATTTATTTTTTTTAACGGTTAAGGTCAACACTAAGCTATGTCTCAAGAACATAATTGACATATAGGTTATTTAAATAATATCCGCAAATTTCCTTATTATTTGCAATTGTTTCTTTTTTCTTATTATTGCGTCGGGAAAAAATCTGTCAGAATTGTTATATTCTTAATCGCATTTGGGAAATATAAAGAATAAATGAATGATTTTGTAAAAAGCAGTTGAGAAGGAAAAACTCTCTTGGATAAAACGTGCAATCATGTTCTTTCATTTTACTACACATATGTACTACTAAGAATTCATTTTATAGGATTATAACCCTATATAATACTTCTAAATGGAATAATTAACCAAGATGTTTGGGTCTATGGAAATTTAAGTTTTCAGTTTTAATCGACAAGAAAGTTGATGTTTTGTTGATAAGGTTGATATTAAATTTACATAAATTATGTTTTGTACAGTCATTTTTCTTTTAGATTTCATGTGTGAAAGTTTGTTTTAATGACTGTTTCATGGCTATGTTTGATTTCAAGCCATAAAATATTCTCATCTTTGTCATTAGAGTTTTACAATAAATGATTTGCGCAATAGTTCGTTAATAATTCCAAGCAATGAATCACTGTCCTTTGCGGAAGGATTGTTGGACATTTTTGACATTTTTCTTCCTTGTGAAAGCGTACGAAATTGAATTGTATTTGTGTGCTTGCAATGGAAAAAACGGGACAAAAATATTCCGTACATATCTCAATAAAAATTCAATTTTTTACATGGAGCCCAGCCAGTGAATTCGACCGAAACGTTTTTCCATTCTACCAAATAATTTAAAACTTTGAATAACTATTAATACATAATAACAATAATGGAAAACTTTTATTATAATGAGGCCACATTGCTCTTACATTGTCAACAAATAAATAAAAAATGTTAATTACATTTTATTGTCCCCATAAATTCTTTGTTGGCATATTCTTTTACAGGAAACTTTGGCTGGTCACTTATGTGCTCTTTAATTAGTTTTAGGAACCTATTTATTATCACAGTTGAGCATATTATATCATTTAATCCCCAGGACCCCTGTGCTGTTTCTTTTCTAAAAAATGGAACTTTTATATAATCCTTATTTCTAATATTACAATCTATTATTTCATTTTTTTGGCTGAATAATTGTAAATTTTCTTAAACAAGTTTCAAAAAACAAAAAATGTAAATTCTTTACACGTTTTGAACAACGTTGGTCAGTGTTCCGTCGTTAACTTTTACTTGTTCATTATTATCAAATGCAGAGTTTCAAATTGTCTGTTGACTGCGAATGGTAATGACAAACGTTTTATTAACTAGTACTTCATTAATAAAATAATTAAATATTTTATTAATAACAATAAAACAGCAGTAACGAGTAGCATGATCCGTTCAGATTGGAGCAGCCATTAAACGAGTTGTGCTCAAACTCAGACTGAACGAAATGCAAATTAGGTCTATATTGACTCTGAAACTGGAAAATTATATGGTTTAAAAATGCTTTCAAATTAAATTAAAAAAATTACTTTTATCAAATTATGTATGCCAAATTTGAAAATTATTTACCAAGGAAGTATGCTGATGAATGATGACAAATGTCCCTAATCAAAGTTTTGATTTATAAACATTTCATACTAAATTTAAGTTCACTAATTTCGTGGTCCGCTTGACCAATTAATTTATTACAATTATCGGGGATTCGAATCCCGCTCGTGCCATTGACTTTTTCATCTCAACTAAAATCCTTAATTAATTGTACTAAATTTAAGGTTCAATAAAACAATACATTAATTTACAAGTCTATTGGACTAAAATTTGTTTAATTTTACAATAACTATAATCATTCGAAACTTCGTTAACATTTGTGTTGATGTCCTAATATACACATAAAAAATTCATTAGCGTAGGATATCAAGGCCGAATCCATTTTGGGAATAATCTGGATTTATTCATTTTTGCGGTCATTTTGACAAACTAATGTGCTGTGTGTGATTTTGTTTTGAAAATTTCTTTTTCTGGGATCATACTTTCTTCTTTCAGTTCCAGAAGAGAGTAAAAATAGCTCCTTAAAAGTTTTATACAAAATTTATTAGAGGTATTGTGAAAAAAACTATTAAATTATATAAGTAAGGATAGAATATAAGTAATAGGTAAATGAAAGGAATTAATAAAGCCACTTCATGACTAGAGAACCTCAAATGAAGTTACAAATGAGTGATAATAAAAAGAGTAGAAACAATAATGAATTATTATGAACCACGGACTAGAGAAAACAGTATAAAAAAGTATGCAATGTTCTATTACTGAGATACGGTTACATTTTAGTTGAATATCTAACCCTCGGCCGGTCGCGTCTTTTATTATTACACCAACTTTCACATGTAGCTTGTTGTCGTCTAAATTAATTTTTTGATTGTCCCTAACATAAAACCCCAAAAGAAATCAAAGATAATATCAGAAAGGGGGCAAACAAATAAAAAGTTATAATTGAAAAGTTACATGAGCCAGTTGTACAAAGTGGAACCAAAAAGAAAATTCACCTATTGGACAATGTACTGTGAAAAAAGTAAAGATTATAAAGACGATCAGAATAGGGTTAAAAACAAAGTCATCCCCTCAAGGAAAATGACATCATCTGAATAGAAATAGAAGGGCGGTAAACGCGACCATCCGATGGTTAAAATGATATTTTTCAAAATTTCATCTCACCTCTAATATATTTTACTTAGGCTTTATTTATATTTAATACTGGTTACCTAAGCATGTTTAAATGGTGGCAAGATTTTATCTATTATTATTATTATTATTAAAAAGGCAGTTTTATTGTTTAAAATTTACCAACTTTTTGCGTACAAAATAAGGGTAAAATAGTGTAAACTAGTGAAGTAATTACTAATTGTGTATAGAAAAATTAGTATTTTTTAGTGATAACCTTTTGACGTACAAAGAAGGTAGAACGGTTCAAATCACGGCATACTTAAGAAAAACAGGTTTTCATAAACCTGTACAATAACTACTATAATTATTTAGCTTTAAACCGTTTTAAAAGAAACTAGTTTAAAACAAACATTTTTGAATGAGATCAATGACCATGACCGCTAATAAAATAATGAGTTTTTTTATGAATCAACGAGTTCATATACAATAAATATTAGCATTGTTATTATTATATAAATAGTTATTAAAAGTATTTCTTTTCAAGCAACGACTTTTATTATACTGTTATTGTTGTCTTGATGATTTCATGATGTTTATTTTGTTTATTATTTTCAACCGCTACACAGGTTCTTTCGTTAAATTACATTTATAATTATTATTAGATGAATTTAAAATCTATGAACTCTTCGTCAAAAGGTTGGGTACAAACGATAGGATGTTCCATGATTTAGACCGTCATGGTAGTTCAAATCGTGCCTTTTTATCTATCTAAAGTGACCTTTTACTATTTACTAATCGGAACTATTCCATAATATTATTTGTTATTCACTCCTAAAATTTTAAAAAATAATAGATAAAATTTGTAAATTTTTGAAGTTATCGAATTTGATTGATAAGGATCAGGATTCCATGAACAAGAAAGGGATAAATGTGGGAATGCCTCGTACTAATTATAACTATCCATTGATGTTAATTTGTATGAAATTTTCATTTGAATTTTCAAAAATTTGACTTCGATTTGAAATGTTTTTCAGTATAAATGTACATAAATATTATAATATTATTATGTTTTTGATATTATCTCCTGGTTTTGATACAATATATGGGAATTTTGCGAGGGCAAGGTTTTTGGTTTAATTGTAGATCTATATTCTTGTACAATAAAATGTATTATTATTATTATTAGACCTTTAAAAAAGTTACAATTGATTAAGTTTGTAAAACCCTTACTTTATATTATTTTATTATCATGCTTATTAAAAATAGTTTAACTTCAAATCTAAGCCTTATTAATTTATTCGATTTCAGGTGTTTTATGACTTGGCTTTGTTCATAATTGCACATAAGTCGATAGATAGATAGTTAGTCATAATTTTATTGATAAATTTGAGAATAATTAACTAACAAATAATTGACAAAAGCATTATAGTGTGGATAGAAAATCCGTCTGCTGAAGGTTGTTGCCAAAATAATTACTCGTCTTTATAATAACTGACTTTTTTTCATAATGGCAATATTGCTATTACTATTTTCTGCTCTCAATAAAAGAAAATTCCTTAAGCAATCATGACTACGCGATTGGCCAATTTGTTTTTCACTCATGGGTAGGGGTGGATTTTTTCAATTCTCGCACACGTGGTTATGCTTGTTCTGTAATAATTATTAAATTTTTGAAAACGATAAAATTAGTAAAGTATTTGTTATATTTTCAGTTCAATTAAAATCATAGTATGTTGATTGTATCACATAGTGAAGGTGTGAATTTGATTTTTGAAGGGTATATTTTTTTTAAAATCTGTCGCTTATAACCTTATACAATTTTATAATGTATTGTTTTTTATTTATACTATTAATTTTTGTAAATTCATTACAATTCTTGGAAGAAAATACTTTTTCCTCCTATATGTTCCATGTTAAAAATGGTAATTTTTATTTAAGATAGATATATATAAAACTGCTGAACTATTAATAAAATAGTTACATTTCTTGGTGTTGATTTGCAAAAAAAGATGAGGAGGATTCGGACAAATTGAAAAATTCGTAACGACATACGTTGGATCCAATCTCGCGACCCTAGGATCAGGGATTCCCACAGTTTCGGGTTATCGGGAGTAGAGAATTTCTGCCGGTTCTTTGTTTTATTTGTTGTGATTAAACTTTTCTTACTTGACGTGCGTGTCGACGTATGTTGTGCGTGGGTCTCCTCTCGGTGGCCACAACACTACTAAACCTCCGAGAAGAGTCGGCGGCCTCCCACTTCGCTGCCCCTCTCGGTCTAGACCAATCTCGGGTCACGGGTATCCCCTCGACCGGGGTGTTTCCATCGCTTCCAGCATTTCACCTGGAGCAAGTCCTTTTGGGAATGAGTGCCGTTTTTTTAATGGGACGTTAAAATCGTCAAATTGGACTGGAAGCTGGAGTCAAATCTGCCAAAGGACTTTCTAGCGGGTTTCATCAGCTCTTTGCACATTTGAAAGATATTCCATAAAATTTTAGAAAACGAAATAGCGTTGAATAGCCGTCCCCTTTTCTCCCTTTCTTACAATCGTGTGGAAGTCAATCGGTGTCTTAATTTAATTGTGACACATTAGTTCTTTGTGAAATTTTGCTATCAACGGAAATATTGGTTGTTAATATTCGTTTTTTTTTTACAAGTCTGATTTTTGGTCAATACGTGTTTAAAGATCAATATAAAAAGGATAATTTATTAGCCAAAAAGTGTTGGATTCAACCGTTTGGTATCTCAGAAGTCTTGATAAATGGATCGTCGAGTAACAAAAGCCAAAGATAGCCTACCGAGTTCATGAAATGACCCTCGCAGAAATTTATGGGGGGGGGATTTTTGAATCACGGAAGGAACAGGATTGGAATATCAATTGACCTGACGTGAACCTACTGATTCATAAAACGTCTTCATTTGCGGAATCGAACTCGATTTACGTATCATATTACACTGTCCAATTCGTTTGTAGTTTGTAACAACCGCGAATCGATCGACAGGTCATCAAACAAAACCTGTTTTAAATAGGTTTGGCCTCTGCTCATTGCAAGACATGTTTCGGCGTAAGTCGTCATCCTTAGAAGCCGATTTAATGCCAAATCGTCGAACCAGCTGTCTTATAAAATATAATGAGGATAAACAACATGAATGATTTTAACATCATCATTTTTCGGTTAGTGAGAACCAATTTTTTCTTCACATCAAAAAAATCAAGCCTCAAATATCTCTCTTTAATAAATTCTTTTCTTTTTCGAGCGAGTAAATCTTATATATCTTGTTTATAGTATAAACACTTTCTTACATAACAGATTATTATTTATTTTAATTGATTTTAAAAAATTAACATAAAGAGGTATCAATGAAAACTGTAAAAATGAGTTATTTTGATTTAAAACTTTTATATTTGTTTTACTTTCGGATAAATAAACCTGTATGATAAATTTTCATGTGTGAGCAATTGTAGTTATAATTAACTTTGATGAGTGTGTGTGTGTGTGTGTGTGTTGCGTATGTGTGTTAACATCCAGGGCGCAGCAATAATGAAAGAAATTATTTATAGATTATAAATAATGCCCAGCAAAATATGTATTAGAATATTACGTGCAGGTTGTTTAAAAAAACACGACCATATTTTTTCAATCAATCCAGGTCCATAAAAAATGACGTAATTTTACATGTATGATTTGTTCGTATGCATATATTATGGAATTTTAGCATCGTTGAAAGAAAATATGTTTTAAAAATCAGTTTACACTAATATTTACATCAATATATGCCATTATTTTATTCTAAAAGGCTTGTTAAATTACTAAGAATTTAATATTTACCATTTATGATAAGTACTTAACTTGGATCTAGTAAATAAACTGGCAATTGTACAACCTCGATGGTTTGGAATGCAACTTAATTATTTGAAGTTACAAATTTTCACGTTAAGTTAATTAATGACTAGAAAGGAGAAGAATTCATGAGGAAATCAGATACACTGACACTGTTACAGATGGCTCCCAAACAAATGAGGGAACAGGATCAAGCGTTTTCTGTAAAAGCCCAAAATATAAACAATCATACTCATTAGGGAAGTACACCTCGGGCTTTCAAGCTGAAATACATATCCACGCTTGTGCTCTATAAAATTCTAATAGAAGTTACACCGACAAAAAAATCCGCATAAGATTGGATAACAAAGCAGTTATTAAACATACCGATGTAAAAAAATCAGTTCAAAATTAGTCAGTGAATGCATCAAAAATCTCCAACACCTGAGGAAACAGCAACCTTATGATATCATAGGAACCAGAACACAAGGGAATTTTGAGTAACGGAAAGGCAAGCAGGTTGGCGAAGTGCGGATCTGAAAGACCATACATAGGCCCTGAACCTCCTGTTATTCCTTGGGATAACAATAACAAATATAGAATCCTACACCACAGAATGGATCCAAAAGAGACAAAATAAGAATGGATAAGGCCTAAAGGTGTTAGACCAAGTAAGCTTACGCTAAAAAACCGTCACTAAGACTGGCAAACTCAGTGCTTAGGTAGGGCTAACTAAACTCAGATTTGTATTGTGACTACACTGGTCACTGGCATCTGATAAGACATCTACATAACGTGGGTATATTCAATTTCAATTACCCTATTTGCAAGGTATGCAATGAGGTGGAATCTACGAATTTGAAGCAACCGCTCAATGGAGACATAACCTGTGATACAAGGAAAACCCACGGAAACGAATTGTTGCAATGAAATAGCCCTCGTGAGGAGAAGGATCGAGTCGATTGCTCTAAACTAAGGAACTAAGGAAATACAATATAATAAACCAGAAGACTGCAGTACTTGGGGAAGAAAATACCCCCACGTACAAGTACCCCCTCATTATCAACATCGTCATCATTTTTTGACACCCAGCTTTCGTTCTATTAAGAACGTAAAGCCTCCAGTCTCAAAAGGTTTTTAGCTAGAATGTCTTCGATTTGTTGCCGTCTACACTACTATGAGATTGAATCCGTACCACGGAAAGGTTCGCACCGGATTTCTTGGTCTAATTGTAGTACCTTATATTGAAGAAATAGTATTTTATTTGTTCAGTGATTAAACCAGGGAGCGCGGTGGACAGTGTAATAGTGTGTTGTGTCTCGTAGAACCCGTGGTCGTGGGTTCAATTCCCAATGTAGCTCTGGCCTTTTTTTCAAGCCCCCCTCCTTTTCCAAAAAACCTATTACCGAACAATTAATGAAAATTAGCTCTGGCTAATATAGAAAAAAAATTTTCTCTGTGCGTACAATCGTATTCTTTATTTGCATTTCTTTTGCGTATTCTAGAGCCTATAATATTGTAAGTTCCAGTAAATATATTGAAAAATTGTCTGACATTCAAAACATTGATCTAAACCTATGCTTACCATCATAGAAAGCATATCCAACTCTATTATTAGTAACGGTAAATACAACATTTACTATGCACGTCATAGCACCCTTTTGGGAACCTTTTAATAAGCCCAACAAAGAAGGTTAGCAATTATTTCTGTTTATTTGGCATATTTATTGAATAATTTAACCTCTTCGTCTTACAAAATTGGTCATGTAATCCGGTTGATACTCAGCAATGGGATTGAATTTCTGTATTCTTGTGCCATTTTCGTAAATTTTCCAGCTACCAGGGGCATCGATTTTTTTTCCTAATATTTTTTAGTTAACTTGAGAACGGTTAAGCGAAAATTTGATCAATAAAATAGGCTTTTTCGACATTATGTTATGCAGAAACCCTCCAGACAGAAGGGTTTGCCGTAAATTAAGAAAAGGTTCGTCAGATAACGCCATCCACTGGGGTTTTAGGCAAAACTAGACATGATCGAACCGTCTTTTTTATTACTATATATAATATGCCATACATATATATTCTTTCCAATTATGATTCAGGTGCTTTTCCATAGAAAATAAAGCCAAAATCGAGAACAGATCTTATATCTACTCTATAAAACATTATTCATCAATTCAGGAATTCTGGAGAGTATTCATAAATCGACAATGACAGAGAATTAGGAGAGTGAGTTTATACATTATTTAATTTATATTTCAAATTTGTGCTGGTTGAAAAATCCCGCGAGATATATTAAAAAGCAGGAAAAAGTGAAATTATATTCGGAAATAAGCTTGAATGTTCCGTTGGAAAAATATTTGAATATATATTAACCCTGGGAGAAATCAGACTCCAAGACGAAGCCCTACCCGCAAGTTTTTAAATCGACTGGGAAAAAATCACTTTGAAGACTTTTAATTTATAAAAGAATAAACAACCTATCTGCTGAGTGTAACGCTGTATTAACAAGATAGTTTCTACCCCGCGGGGGGTCCGTGAACCAATTGACTCGATCTCCAAGACCATGGCTTTATTTGGGCCCAGGACCTCTTCAGCACTCACGAGTCTCCTATCACGCACGGAAAGAAATTATTTATTTTGAACGGGCTTTCGTCGAAAAACGTCTTTCCTAGGTATTTAATCAGGCACGAATGTGTTAAGTCTTTTATCGCTTCTTCTGCCGAATCTTTTTTAATTAGGACTGAAATTCCCAAGGACAATAAGCGGCCTGAGTGGAAATGCTTGGGGATTTTTATTCCATATTTGACTTTTTGAAAAAAGTTGATTAGATGCTAGATTTTTCTTTAAAAACCTACATTGGCGTTATAATTATGAGTGTATTTTGAATATGAGTTTTCATTAGATGAATAGCGAAAAATATATTTTTCGCATTTCGTTAAAGTTTTCTATACTTACTTAATCGTATTGGAGAGATTATTTTTTCATTATATATTATATATACATTATATGACTTTTTTAACATGCGAACTATTATAGCGAGCAATGTTTTACAAACACACTGGGCATTGATGACAGATTTTTTGGTATACAAAAGCAAAATTTTTTCACAATTTTAGGGTTTTACCACAAATTAACCAGATATTATTGTTGAATAATTTTTGCGATAAATTCGTAGTGCTCTAAGAAAAATAAAACAAAAAATTGAGGGGAACTAGAAAAGGGAATGCGTATCAAAATTAAAATCCATTGAACAGAAGTATAGAAAAAACAACTATTCGTCCGAAAAACAGTAACTATCATTAGACATAGTAAATTTGATTTATATAAAAGCAAAATATATATACACAGACATTTTGTAACCAAATAGCAAGTAAATAAAAGCGTCATCAGTATTTTGGACCAAATCATCACAAGTACTCTACTTTCAACGTACAGG